CATGTCAAAGGGCTGAAGCACTACTCTAGTTATTGTCAATGTCCTAATGAAAATGCTTCTCTGTTTTTCCATGTTTTTTCAGGGAAGTAATCTGTCTTTCTGATATTCACAGGCACATACTATAAAAAAAAAAGATACGAGTTTCAGTAAAACCATTTAAATCATTCCATGTACAAATTCATCTATCCATCATTCGTCACCCTCAATAGGATACCTGCCTTCCTACAGAAAGTTTTCATAAGTGATATCCTTTCTGTATTCACAAAGTATGTCCCTTTGCATAGTGATTCCAGCCCTCACTCCTTTTTAATTCCCCACATTGCTGTGCTCGACCTTGGTGCAGGAAGCCTGGAAATTCTTAAAGGAGTTCATGCTGGAATCTATTCTGGGCAAGCTGAAGGGCCTCACATAACTTCTCCACGCTGTGACTCTTACTCTCAGCACACTCTGATACTGCGGGTCGCTCCATCCCCAGAGCAGTCTTCTGACCACTGCCACGCCTCACATCTCATACATTCCTCTGTTGTGCCCTTGACTGTCTGGGCCAGTGTATTCATATTCACACTTCTGTTTCTGTCCTCACTGAGTCTTTTAGATTCGACATATGTTGCTTTCTTACTTGCTCTGATATAGTTTCCTTTTAGTGATAAATCTGCTTCTCTAACCACTGCACTCAAATGAGGCTTCTTCCTCATCCTCAAAGACCCTGGAACCTCTGACCTGGGACTGTTTTCTCTTGTCTCCCCCAGCCGTATGGAACTACTAATATTCTCTCTCACTTTAGAATCCTAATGTATACTTTTTTTTGAAACCATTCTCTTACTTCTTCACCTGGCTAATTCTTTCACCTTCACATCTCATGTAGAGTACTATATTTTCTAGAACACCTACAGTGTCCACTCTTTGAAATTACACATCTTTTTTTCAATGCTTCTATCATATACTTTGCACTCTTTGATCACACACTTGCTATATCCTACTAACATTGTTTGCTTATTTACCCTTCAGCTCCCCATCCATGTAGGACAAGGGTGAGATATCTCTAAATCCTTAGTACCTAAACCAGTGATTTTACATATCAGGTTTTTGACAAATATTTGTTGAATGAATAAAAAGGTTCAATTATGCTTCACTTACTTCCCAAAAGAAATTTGACCATCTATATTAAAACTTGTGAAGGACAGCTGGTTCCAGCACATGGCAGACTGAGCTAATGTCATTTTTTGTGTAATGTGCCATTTACACAAAAAACACTGAAAAATTCTGTGTAATTTAGCCCCAAAATGTAATGTAAGCCTGAGTTGACAAAAAAGAAAGAAAAATTCCTTGTGCTGGGAACAAAGAGAATACTAACTGCTAAACCAGCAAGGATATGAGCTTATATCCCAGGAACTCAGGGCTGATGCTGGACCCTGAAATAATGGTGGGGTGCTTGAATTTTAATGGACAGAGTGGGTTAGAGACTTGGACACACATAAAACAAGGATTGACCCTTTGCAGAGATGCAATTTCAGTGAAAGTAGGACTCAAACAACTGCACCCACCAGTACAGAAAGGAAAAAAGAAAGCTGTTCTCCACCTAGGGCTGGAATTCTCCCATGAGAGATTAAAATCCCAAGCTTGCACCTTATAAAAAGTGTTTAGCTTTATCCTATCAGTGTGTTGCAGGAACATCCAACCTGAAACAACATAAAGATTGATCCTAGTTTCATGAAAATCCTCAACACAAAATTCTTCCAAGTGGGACAGTTCCACTTCAGAAGGGATTTTTTTTGGAGACAGGGACTTGCTCTGTAACCCAACCTGGCCTTGAACTCTCTGTGTAGCTCAGGCTGACCTTGAACTTGTAAATCCTCCTGCTTCAACCTCCCGAGTGGCAGGATTACAGATCGGTACCATCACACCTGGCTCCAGAAGGGATTTAAAAAAAAACTGAGACGTTCCAGTTAAAATTAATTATAATACATAATGAAATTATCACTCTGATTATGATATAACATAGGTCTCAATAGTATGAAAAATTACCCTACTTTTAATACTTCAAAGAATAATCATTTAAAAGACTGTACATAAATATGTTCAAAATAATTGAACTGATTTTTTTTTTAAAAAAGGAATAAACCTGGAAAAGATACTTTGAAAAGAGAGAAGCAGCAGTAACTTTGGGAAAACCACCAAATAGGACTTTGACAAATGATTAACTTAATGTTTTAAATTTAAAAATACACTCAATAAGTAAACGTACACTGTAGACACAGCTAACTACTCAAGATGCATCAAAACAAGACAAATAGAAAAAAAACATGAGGAAGATAAGTTGAAGAAGTTATCCACAGGTTCATGAATCAGAATGATTCTCAAGAAAGTGTACCCTTGATAACAGCTAACAAAAGTTGAAGCAATCTCTCAATATGTACCTGGAAAATGTCTCATACAAATGGACAAGGAAGCATGTACAAGTATGTTTACTAAAGTAAAGTTTGTAATAGAAAAAAATTAGAAACTAAATTGCCCATATGCTCAGCAAGAGCCAAACGTGAATTATTTTTTCTTTTAGTGGAATACCAAAAGAGAAGCAAAAATAAACTATAGCTCTATATATCGAGAAAAGTTAACACAACTGAGTTCTAAGTTTATCTCAGAAACTCATTGTTAGTCAAGGCAAAAAGGCAAACACACTGTTTTTTAGTTCTCATTACTGAATAAAAAGAAATACAAATTCAACTGGAATGGAATGATACAATTTTTTCTGCTACTGAATTTTCATGAGTGTTGGGAAACTATTCTCTATGGACTTCTGAGCAAAGAACATAGTTGAATATCAAACAGCCTTGGAATCCAGAGAAAGGGCAGATCTAGAGATGTACCTCACCGGACATTTACTAGGGCACTTTATGCCCTGTCCTTTTTCTCTTCCAGATACTTTCTTACATTTCAGGGTAATGAATAATCCAACCCACCCCCTCTCAGAGGAGGAAGATGTGTCATTGTCCCTGAAAAGCTAAGTCTCTTAATTTTAAGGTTCCTGTCTCCTGTGATGCAACCGGCTACACACACAGGTAATATGACCTTCATCACACTGCCCTATGGGAATTAAGATAGGGAACCAACACGAGATTTTACTCAGGCTGATGCTTTTACTGTGACTAACAATCAATATCCCTTACCCAATGTTCGTGTGCGTGTGTGTGTGTGTGTGTGTGTGTAACCATAGCAGGCTAACTTGTTAGCATGCAAATAGTGTAAAATCTTCAGCTCTTTTACAGCTGTGATTTAGATTTTGCACAGAGACAAAAAGGAAGGAAGACTAACATAATGGACATGATTTCTTATGAAGTACAGAAATATTCTTCAAAAGACATCTAATATCAACTTTATAGAAACTATGGTCTTGACAAAATGCAAAGAAAGAAACAGTGAGGCAAAACATTAGATATGGAAGGATATTTCAGTGAGAATTTAAGATAATATAGTTCAGCTATGTTTCTTTTTGATGATGTAAAGATATAAGAACAAGGCTTGCAGTTCTTAGAAAATCAAGTGATTAGTAAACACAAACCATTTTTTATTTTCTTATACATCAGACATTATAAGGGAGCCTTTTATAAATACCATTCTCAGGGAATTCATAGCTGACATATCTGATGACTTTTGGAAATGTCAAAATCTTTGATTGAAGAGATACTCCTATATAATAGAGTATTTGTTGTGTATTTATTGATTTTGGCCATCCAGTATCTATCTTACCATCATCTTGAAACAACAGAGTTTTGTTTGAGGATTTACACCTTCCACACCACTATCAGGCCTTGTGGTCTGGATAGGTTTCCAGACCCAACTCCAACACTAGCAGGAAATTGAAACTTAGGTGCATCCCGTTTTCCGGGGTTAGAGGCGTGCACTGAGAAGTAAGCCATTCTCCAAGAATAAGCCTGATGGTCATGGACTCTGTCTCTTTTCTGTTCTAACTGAACCTGGAAAGATGGAGCCTCAGAAACAGATGAAAGGCGTTTTGCAGCCAAGAGGGGAAAGCCAGTCTAAGAATGGAGCTAACATAGAGAAGGTAGAATTGAGGTATAGAGAGAAAAGGAGAAACAGGATCCTGAAGGCCATATATGAGTACCTGTGTCCAGCTATGTCTGGAATCTTAACAACTCTGGGTTTATGTACCTGAACTAATAAAAGAGCTTTTATTTTTCTTGGCTTAACCCAATTTGGGCCTGATTTTCTCACAAAAGTGTTCAAATTTATTAAATCTGGGGTTCAGATGTCAGATTTGTAAGACTCTGAATCTTTTTGTAGTGAAAATTTAGAATACTTTGAACTATGCCCAGATAGAAACACCCAGAGTTCTGTGCTATAAAGTTTAGAAAGAAAAATTCGTCTTGAAAAAATTTTAACAGCTCTTTCCTTTAATAAAATATAAGAGAGCCTGCATAAAGCATTGTAGAAAATGTAATTTGAAATGTATTTAAATACTGATGGATCTATCCAAATGAATTTTTTTAGTTAATTTAAAATTCCTTCTTTTTTTTTTATTTTTTATTATTATATTATTGCTGTACTGAAGGCATATTGTGACATTTACAAAAGTTCTTAGCAAATGAATTTATAGTTAAATATACTGTACTATGTTAAAGATTATTTTGAAAACAGTTATGGGAAGAGGAGCAAAACACAACCATTTTTAAAACTTATTATGGGATTTCTTTTAGGTTTGACACAAGGGATAATTTGCATGACTTATATTGACTTTGAACCATTTGAAATTGATAATCTCATATAGGTCAATCAAATCATAAGGTAGAAAAAAGCCCACCTAATTCCCTTTTCGAGTATATATTGTACTGAAAGAAGACCCAATATTCATTTCACTTATTCAAATATAGTACTGCATATGGAAGACTACCAGATACACTACATTTTCAAATTTTCAAACTTGGCACCTGTAGATTCTTTAGAAAGGGTTTAACTCTTTTGCAAATGCAATGTTTACTTACCTGCACGTTATATAAGGGTTGCCTTGGTGTATTAACTTCCCTCAGCAGACGGTGAGATATGCCCTTTAACTCTGAAAGCCTATATATAAGCTTAGGCTGCAGAAGTTTGGCCACTGACTTGGAGGATTGGGAGATGCTGTTTAATCCTTGAATTAATGTTCCCCGGTTGATCTTGGCTAAAGCAACAGCCATCCTGATTTTGGATGTTTTCGGCACAGGCTCTCTTTTCTGAAATATAAGCCTTTGAAAATTATCTGATGTGTGATTTGCCAATCACACATCTACTTCTAGCAGACTGACTATACAAATATGTTGTGCATGGTGCCCTACATGTACTCCAATATTCATATATTCCCATACAACTCTTTGACTCCCCCCCCCACTTACATCTTCATATGAACATATTATTTTTCCTAGGATAAATATCCAGAATTGAAAAGTAACTTGCCAAAAGACAAAATTTTTTCATTTTATACCTTTTTGCATTTTTTCAAAGAAAGCTTTCAAAAGCAAAAAAGAATTCTTATTTCAACATCACTCAAGATTTGAATTATTCAAACAATAGTGCTTATTCAAAACTGTTACAAATATTTTTCTAGTTTACATAAAATTTTTAAATGATGAAATAGAACATAGATAAACTATACATAAATTATGCATATAATTTAAATAAAAATAATACAAATACCCTGTATACCAATCACTAAGTTTAAGAAAACTTTACTTCTCAAGACTTCAGAAATTCTATCAGTATAGAAAATTTTGTGGCATTGTCAACACAAATGACATGTAGTTCTTTACCCTAAAGAATATCAGAAAAAATTACTTGCAAGTAGTGAGAGTACATTCCAGCTATAGGCAAGTGTAGTTTCCATTGTGAGTTTAAATAACACTATTCTGGCTTTTTATTTATAACTTAGGAAACAGTATTGATTAATAAGTATTAGTTGCAAAAAAGTAACTTTGATTCTTTAAATACTTGTTCAGCCTAAATATATAAATACAAAATTTCTTTCTTTTCTTTTCTTTCTTTCTTCTTTCTTTTTTTTCTTTCTTTCTTTTCTTTCTTTCTTTTCATCTCTCTCTCTCTCTCTCTCTTTCCCTCTCTCTCTCTCTCTCTCTCTGTCTCTCTCTCTCTTTCGGTGGCTCTGGAGTTTGAACTCAGGGTTCACACTTGCTTAGCCATACTTTCAACCATTTTTGCTGTGATTATGTTGGAGATAGGGTCTCTCTTTTTGCCCAGGTTGGCCTAAATTCCTGATCTTATTTTATGCTTCTGCTGTTGCTGGGATGACAGGCATGAACCACCATGCCCAGCTGTTTTTCCACTGAGATGGGAGTCTCACAAACATTTTTGCTCAGGCTGATTTTTGCTCAACCCTCCTGATCTTGGACTCCTGCATAGCTTGGGATAACAGGTGCATGCTACAGAGCCCAGCTGTTGGCTCATCAACTTTTTGCTCTTGCTGGCCTCAAATCTCAATTCTTCAGATCTCAACTTCTCAAGTAGGTAGTTTTACAGGTGTAAACCACCAGCATCTGACTCAAAATACCTTTTAAATGTAGTTTTTGCCTGTAGCAAATGTTGTATGTTTGTCTAAGAGCTAACATACTATAAATTCATTATAAATGCCTCCACTTTTATCCTAAAATTATTTTATTGCTGTTATTTCTCATCAATGTTCAATATTCCTCTTACTGTTCAGCACATTTTGTTGAAAGTAACCAGAAGCTATTTCAGCTTGTCAATAAGGATGGAGTTTTTAGCATTTGGTGTCCTGCTGTGGTTTGATTTGTTAAAATCCTGAAAAAGTCCATTAGCCAGCCTGTGGTCTCAGAGAGTGCCATCTAAATTGTGGGCTGCTGAAATTGCTGCAATCCAAAGCCATTTAGAGGACAGCAATCCTAAAAGTGGTTACATAGAAGAGAGAACACGCAAAATAACAGGCAGGTACAATCAGTTGGTATACGAACTACTGTTCATAGATGTAATTCCATCTAGGAAAGAACCACTATTGCCCACAGTATCCAAAACTCCACCACATACAAATTCCATTTCTCTTATGTCTTTGTACAATTGCTGCACTGATTCCTCCCAACTTCTTCTCAAGGTGGGACAACTGAAAATAGTTTGGTTTTACCTCTGATTATAATTTGTTTACATTTCCCTTCATTACAATTTGTTATCATAAGTAGTGGGCCATATTGCCAGAGCAAACACGAGTGGGATATGTACCATTTCACTTTTATTAAAACGTTGTCTACTTATTCAAGCATTTAGTGTTTTGGGGACTCCTTGTATTTACAGTTGCAAAATGTTAAGATTCTGCACTCTCCCCATCCTTGTTTTGTAAGTTTCTTTATAGTCTTTTTTGTTTGAGACAACAGGGTCTGGCTTGGTAGCCCAGGCTGGCCTATAACTCATTATATACTCCAGGCTGGTCTCAAACTTGAGATGTTCCTGCCTCTGCCTCCCAATGACAGGCACGCACCACTGTGCCCAACACCTCAGAAACACACAGAGGCACCTAAAGGTTGCTGACCAATTGAAACAGCATCAGTTAATAAGACGGGTTCTAGATTCCTGCTCCAGATTTCTCCATTTGACCTCCACTATTTGAATATAGATCCTACTTTCTCTTTTTTCTCTTTTTTCTACAGCCATGCCTGTTTCTTTGTCATCAGCAGTTTTAATGCTGAACTCCAATTTCTATTACCTCAGCGTTTCACTATCCTCCATCTATAAAACCAGCCTGTCAGCAACTCTTACTCAGTTCTTTCTCTGAATAGTGTCAGAATGTGACCTCTTCTCGTCACCCCCATACTACACCCAGGCCACTGTAGTTAGACACCACTATCTCTCTTTTCCAAATTAGTGTGTTAGCCACCCAAATGGTTTCCTTGCTTCCAGCTTTGCCTATTTTTCATGCTTTCAATAACTCATCAGCCAGAGAGAATCAATGAAAAAATCCTGTCAGATCAATCTTTCATCTGGTCACAGCTTTAGTGGCTTCTTCTACTCACTGTAAAAGCAAAGTACACAGCCCCTCAGAAACTAACTTGTTCACCTCGCTGGCCTCTTTGTCTTTTTCTTTCCCTTTCACACCTCACTATTTGTTGAACTCATTTGTAGACATGGTGAAAGGTGAGAATACAAAGTTGAGCTCTTTCTTGTCAGACCCAGACAAAATCAGAGTTGGGAAGTTACGAAGGAAGCGGGCTATGGACTACGTGTCCAAGGTAAGTACTTCCTCAAAGGACTTTCTTTCCAAAGGCTCAGAAGAGAGCTCTCATTCTGAATGCACCCCATGCTTTGTATACCTTACACTCATAACAGATGATAAAGTTATCTTCAGCATTTTTTAAAACTGCAGTAAGTCAGCAAGCTTCTCTGGACAGAACACTTGCCCAGTAATGGAACCTCTACCAATCAGCTGACACCAATATATGCCCCAGGTCTCCAAGAGCAATGACCCCCACATCCAAGTAGCTAACATAAATTTCTCCCTTTTGCCTTCAAAATCTTCCCCTTTTCTGACCTGCCTCAATATATCTATAGTTTACTATGGCACACGTATTCCCATTGCAACACTTTTCTACTTCCAAATAAATATAATTTTTCTTTAGAGAATCTCTGTCTGATTGTCATTTAGGTTGAAAACTTCTATCTCAGAGACTGTGCACTCGCTATACCATTTGATTCCTTGCGTGTCCCAAGGTTCATTCCCTTGCCTCCTTTAAATCTGAATTAAAGGATCTCTTCTCACCAGAGTTTCCTTGACCACCTCAGCAATCAATTTTTCTCCTGACACCAGCACCACTTCCTCATATCCCTTCTCTGCTATGTTTTTCTTCCCCCTAACATTTCCACTAAATACTGTAATTTATATCCATTTATTGGTTTTCTATTTGACAAGGATGTAACTTGTATGACAGTAGCCAATTGGTTCACTCATGTTTTCCCCTATGTGTCTGACACATAGTAGGTACTCTATAAATATTTACAGAGTATATGAAGAGTATCCTAAAATATAACAAAATAGTATTGAATAATATCAGATAAATATACCAAATACTAAAGTAAAAACCACCTAGAAAATTTCAGTGCACAGTGTACTCTGTAACTTTCACAGGGATGATAGTGCTGCACAAGAAACAACTCCTCAACACAAAAATATAATTGAGTGATAGAACATTCTAGTTACAGTCCTATTCTCATTGTATTTCAAAACCCCAAAACCATTACAAGTAATTTCCAGGCACTAGTGGTATGTCCTTAGCAATTTTTGTCCCACATTAAAAACATAAAAAATTTGGAAAGTACATTTGTACATGAAAAATTCAAAATTTTGACATGGGTTATGGCATTATAGTCTTTGCTCTGTCATTATGTAATTCCCACTCTTGTGGTATACAGTTACATGCAAAGTAACAACAGCAAAAACCACAAATCACCTCTCATATGAAAAACTCACAACAAATTGACCCTATTTGCTGGAAAAGATTTGTCTCATTCCAGTAAGGGTATTCTGAATTAGATAGTTTTTTAGTTCCCCAATTAAAGTAACCATTACTTTCTTCAAATTTAAAAGTTTGCTATTCTTAAAGTCTTTATATGAAAATCATTTTCAGTTTGTGAAGGTAATCCTTCAAACATTACTCTTTACTAAGGAGGTAGATACAGAGGTATTGGGGTCTATGCTGGATAGCATGCAAGGTTTGTAGGATAGTGGACTTCAGCAATCATTACCTCAAGTCAGGATTCTAAAATTAACTTCCCCCTACCCATGAAGAACTATTTAACAACTAGCAAGCATTATTCTGGGCATATTCTTCTATACAAATTCTGCTACCATGCCCCTCATATCTTTTTTGCCCCAGTTAAACAAGAAGTCCTGGGAGAAAAATTTAAATACTAATCCCAAAATTTACAGATTTAAAGTTCAACCCAATTAATAAAAACTTCTTAACATTTTAAAAAGTAGTCTTTTCAGTATGATGGGAACTATTGATCATCTTTGAAGAAAAAATTATAGTACTTCATATTGTGACCTTTTAAAAATAATCTAGTTAACAATGAGTGTAAACAATGTTTTCTGGACAATTTATTACTGATGAGAAAATAGCTTCAGATGTGCTATATCACCTAAGCTACTCAGGGTTCTTGCCAATCTCACTAACACATTCTTCAAAATAAACAATAGGAAAAGAAAATATAATGCGGGCTGGAGGTGGAGCGCCTGTCTCGCAACCCCAAGGTCCCGAGTTCAAACCTGGTACCAACAAAACAAAGGAAGAAGAATGTGTTTTGAAAATGACTAAAGAACCATGGTTACATTCTTGTCTAAGTAGGATAAGGTTCTTATGAGTACATCAAAGGCTGGAAATGGAAATGAAGAGTTCTTTCTTTGAGGATCAGAATATCCATCTATTTTGCCATAAATCATGCTTCTGACTCTAAGCGATAATGAAACTACTGAAAGGGTAGAAAGAGATAAAGAGAGTTATAAAAAAAAAAGATTCTCACTTCTTTGATTAAATAAAGTTCTAATTTCTCTAATATCGGCAATGAGGAAAGCACAATTTGGAAGAGATAACAGGGCTGCTTCAATGATTTGACATTCTAGACCAACCATAGACACCTGTCCATCTCTTCCCTTCATCCTCCACAGCATCACCAAGAAAAGTCTTAAAATACTTTATACTAAAGCTAGAGGAATGCAAAAAGGGAAGCAACTAGATTCCAAGTCTAAGATATGAAATTACAAATTTTTGTTTGCCCTCTGGAGCTCTTACCTTATCCTATCCCACTCAGCTGACCACCATCTATATGCTATGTTACCACTACAGAGCTATTCACTTTCTAAATTAGATACAATTTATATCTACACATACACTCATCATAGTCTAATGCAATTGCTTTTTTTTTTTAAGAACTCTGTCTTCATTGAATTAAGCCCACTGATTGAAAGAATCATGTCTTACTTATTTTCTGAGTCCCCTCTCCCCAGTCCTAAGCATTTATTAAATGTCTGTGGGCTGGTTTCTACATGAGTGATTACAGGTAGCTCTCATACCTCTCCTTTAGAATGAAATATATAGATTTGTGATTACCATTTGCTCAGAGTGCTTCCTGGATGGGACCATTTACCTCATATTTGTCATTGACAAGAGTCTGACTTCTGGATAAATCTGACTTCTTGTTACTGTATCATGTAACTTTAAAACAGATTCTATTCCAGGTGTGGTCAAAATAACAGAAGCATACTTTTTCCACTGTAGTTTATATCCCTCATTTATTGTTTTTCTATTTGACAAGGATGTAAGTTGTATGACTTACTGTGTGCCTTTCAATAAGGTAGATTAAATGTGTCCCCTAAACAAGATGCAACTTTTTCTTGACTGTATGTCTCTACAAAATTCTCTAACTCCCTCCTCCTCACACTCCCAATACTTTCTCTGTTTCAAATCCTTTTTGGAACAGAGATTTTAAAATATAGCACATACATACTTTGTTTAAATTGATGAAAAACAATATTTTCTTTCCACATTAAAACACACACATTTATATCATATTTACCTTTCCACTGTTATAATTCATGTCAATTAACTGTTTGCACAATTTAATTGCCTTAGATGTTAGCTAAAGTGTATCTAGCTATTTTTCCAATCTTACATTAAGCAAATCTTAAGTAAACTACATTGCAATTGTGACTGTGAGAGACCACCAGATTTCCAATTCAGTGGCACAGTAGATTTCTTTAAATCACTTATCTCACTTCCTGATCCACAACCACTCTGAATAAGATTTGAAATTTGTTTTTTGAGGCAAAATTAATATTTTCTTAAGCTTTCAGCACTGATCTCAAAATCAAAGCATTAAATAACTCATATGATACTAAAAATACAATATAATTTTTGCGTTCCTTTTGAAACTTATGAAATCACATTACCTGATTAGACTGTGATAATCTTAGGATGTTAGGGAATTCATCTTTAAACTCATCTATAAGGTCCATGATTACTTTCTGGATCCCTTCAACTAAGAAAAAAAAAGTTAGGAAATATAAAACTTCAAAAAATATCTCCTACAGGGAAACAAGGGACCCCAAAAGGATCTTATTCTCTGTTGTTCCCACATCCATATCTCCTTTTACAACAAGATTATATATACTTCTTCCAGAAAAGTTCTTCAACACCTGTCCACATATCCACCCTACTGGTTTGATTGGCATGATGGATTCCTAAGTTCTTCGCAAGCTTGCAGGCTTAGGAGGAGGGCAGCCTTCCACTCAGGAAAGCAGGAAAGGACAGAACCTGCAGCTCACTGCTGGGGATTCTTTGTTACTACACAATGGACCTCTGAGAACTTGTTACAGAATCTTCTGAAGTCATTCTGGCAGTGGGAGGAGGAAGAATGTGTTTGGAGGCATACGGGGATGAGGAGGGGGATTAAAAAATGAACCACACTAAGAAGTTCTACAATATAAATTGAATTTTGTTCCAAATTCTGCATGATACTTCAATTAGTGGATCATCTGAGAACAAAGCTCCTTTTGAAAAGCATTGGCATGTGCTTGGAAAGAAATGCTTCACAGAGGATGCCAAGTAGGAAAGAAACACAAGCAGTTAATTCAGAAAGACTTCTCAACAGATTTTATGTCCGTCATCCAAATGAGGATCAGTAGGTCACAGTCAAGCACAACTGTGAAGTCTTTGGTTTGTCTTCTTTGTAATTGAAACCTTCATTTCTTCATCTTTTACCCATCCCACTTCAGAGGATCATTGTTTATTCTTCACCAAATCTGGGAAGAACTTATATCAGGTAGATTTTATTGATTATCATCCAGTTATAATTTAGTGTGGGTGAGTAAAGAGTTGATGAGTTAATCTCATTTTAAATTGAAACCTGTATACTTAATTATAGTTTGACAATTTTCTTCAGCAAGCATATGGCTGTTCATGGGAACTGTTTGGGAAAGGGAACTCATCAGAAGATTCCCCTAGCATGCAAAGCCTGCCAGATCCCAGTGTGTCACATCACCTCAGTCCTTAATCTGCCTACAAACACTCCCCACCCAACACCCACTTCTGCTAACCAAGTAGAGTGCTTCCTTCCACTGTGACTCAAGTGCATAAGATAAGCATGCCTCTAACATTTGAAAAGTGCAGTCCCAAAAGAACCACTCATTGGGCAAAGATGATCAATACCAACTGGAATCCATATGCTAATGAGGCATTTCCTCTTCCTCATCAGGACACTTGGCTATGAGTCTACCTCAGAGGAACACCTGGCAGCCCCTTCTCACTGGTCTTCTCTGCCCTCTCCCACCCAGTCCCTTTTATCTAACTACATACTACAATGGCTTACGCTCCCAACTGCTTTCACCCAGTTTTCTTTTCATTAGCACCCCACCCCCAGCATCCTATAGAATCAACAAACATAAAACATTTCTCGTGCTAATATTAATCATACCTAAAGCATAACAGACTGTGTTGTGCTAACAAAGTCCTCTTTGTCTTTTTTTTTTTTTTTTTGTGGTACTAAGGCTTGAACTCAGGGTCTTCACCTTGAGCCACTACGCCATCCCTTTCTTGTGATGGATATTTTTGAGTTGTGGTCTTACAAACTATTTGCTCAGGCTGGCTTTGAACCACCATCCTCCTGATCAATGCCTCCTGAGTAGCTAAGATTGCAGGTGTGAGCCACCAATGCCTGGCTTTTTTGTCTTTTCTTAATGGTCCTCTCCCAGGAAGAAGAGTGGAAAAAATAAGACAAGAGGTAAGGAACTAAGAAAGTCCCAACCTGCCACACTTACTATTTGGGATCTTACAATATTTTGGTTGGAATTTGTGTTTTCATGCCTATATCTTATGCATCTTATGTCATTTCAGATAATAAAATTAGACAAAATAAATAACAATGTCAGTGTTTATCTTCCTTTTAACTCTTATTATAGTATTCTTTATACCTTATAATAGAGTGCTGAATACTTATAAAAAGAAATTAGGGCTGGGCGCTGGTGGCTCACGCCTGTAATCCTAGCTACTCAGGAGGAGGGATCAGGAGGATCAAGGTTCAAAGCCAGTCCAGGCAAATATTTTGTGAGACCCTATCTCAAAAATATCCAACACAAAACAGGGCTGGTGGTGTGGCTCAAGTGGTAGAGTGGCCTGCCTAGCAAGTGTGAGACCCTGAATTCAAGTTCCAGTACCACCAAAAAAATAAGTAAAATAAATAAGTTAGGAAGCAGTTATAAATACCTCCAAATAATTTTTTAACAACCAAACAGGTTTATCTGTATATAGAAGGCTTCACTGCAGTAAAATAGAGCATTCTATTTGCACATAGAATTGAAGTAAGTGAAAAATTCAAGCAAAGGCAATACAAGATCAGTGACAGAAATAAAAAGGTTTGGGGTTCATTCAGACAGGTTGAATTTCAACTCTATTCTCTATCAAACTCTATAAACTTGGGCAAATTAAGTTTTGAAAACCAAAATTTTACTATTTTTTAAAAGGTGACTTGATGTGCCTGAAATGCTCAACAAATGGAAGATATTGTTAAATATATGCACCATTTTGCTTTTGGAAAGTTTGCAAGTCAGCACTTGGTTTGCCCTGTTCACACAGGTTTTCAGCCTGTTTTATTCTGCACCCAACTAGAACTCTGGCATCTTTCCTAACTGGATCCTTCCCTCAAACCTACTTCCAATCAACTGATCAGAGCTATACTCCTAACTTCAAGCATTATCTGCCAACTCTCAAAGCCTAACACCAAAGACTTCTTTCAGACTTGTCCTTGGTTCAGATCAAGGATTAGATTAGAAGCCACATCCTTTGGAAGCCAGTCTCACAAACAAGATCAGTTCTATTGATGCCGGGATTGTTGTCTTCTCAGCCCACAATGTACTTTGAGACTATGCATGTCTAAGTCAATGGCAAATGCTAATAACATCAAAGTAATTTTTAAAATCATGATCCAGAGGAAGGAGATTGATATATTTTGAAGGCCAATTAAATGCTAGCAACTGTGCTACAGGCCAGGTTCCATCGATTATCTTTCTTAATTTTCTATGAGGTGGGAATACTCTGAAAGCAATCCAGAGATATCAAACAATACCAATACACGGGTGTGACCAGTACCAACTGTCACCCTAGAAATACATCCCAATGAAAAAATCCTTAGTAATAACTTCTATGAAGAGTTAATTGGGGCTTCTTTGGATATCATAAACTGAAAGCAATTCAAGACCCCAACATTTGTCAAATGATTTTAGCCTCAAGCTATAGGAATGTTTCAATTCCTTACATCTGGAAGATATGGACTCCTATACATCTAGCAAATTTTTTAAAAAGTGCATGAAGAAATTTGAAGTAGCCAAATTTATATTAGAAAGGACTATCTTATAAAAACAATCAATGTTCACTGAGCTCTTTATTCCTAAGAAGTTGTGTGTAACTGAGAAAACCAAACCCCCCCAAATCGAAAAATTGCCATGAAAATATTATTTCCATATGATTATTCATTTGCATTTAATTGATTAAATTTAATGTCATAAGTGTGACTAAGAGTATGGTTATATATCACTGTGCTTAGAATCTGGTGAAAAGTTTCATGTAAATCAGGAGGGGGGTCTCACATCTACTTTTAAAGATCTACTGAGCATGGTGACATACTCCTGTAGTCCCAGCTACTTGGGAGGCTGAGGAAGGAGGATGGCTTGAGCCTAAGAGTTTGGGACCAGCCTGGACAACAATAGTGAAAATCTGTCTCTTAAAAAACTGAAGGCCAGGCATAGTGGTTTCACACCTATAATCCCAGCTATGTGAGAGTCAGAGATAGGATTAAACTTTGAGGCCAGCTTAGACAAAAAGTTCCTGAGACCTTATCTCAAAGAATAAACCAGTGTTATAGTTCATGCCTATAATCTCAGCTACATGGGAAGTTGAGAATCATGGAGAATTGTGGTCTGAAGCCAGTCCTAGCAAAAAGCATAAGATCCCATATGAAAAATAACTAAAAAACAAAAAGAGCTGGAGGATATGGATCAAGCACTAGGCCCTGAGTCCAAACCCCTGCCCCCAGAACCACAAAAAAGAAAAGATTTGGTTATGTCTTGATCTTGAAGAACTAATGGAGCAGACTGAAAAAACCCTATATACTGAAGACTACAGACCCTCCTGGAGAGGACTAAGACAGTGAGGCAGTCTATGCCAACAAGGTCACGCTGGTAATGACACCCACAGCCATTGGAGAAGAGGAGTGCGGTGGGCACAGGCTGGCATGTGCCCTCATATCTACCCTTGATCCCAGGTCAGTGGGGACCAGGAGTAGATGGAACAAAAGGATAAGCCTCGAGTTGTGAGCTGTCTCAGGAGCATTGAGCCACCAGGATACCCTACCCACAAAAGGAAAAGGGCGCCCCTTAGAACTCTGCAAAGATCTTCCACTTCCTCCCCTGCACCTCACCCAGTGACAAGGAGGGTGTGGTGTCCACAAAATAGCCCCCTCCTAAAAAAGAAGGCAATTCTGGGTGGGAGGAGTATTTTTGTAAATCTTTACGGAAATAAAATTTTCTTCTCTTTTTATTTTTCTAAGGAGGTTTTTCGAGGTCCTAAATTGTAGAAGTAGTCTCTTAAATTATGATTTTTATTTTTGTCTAGTTTTGCTTTGTTTTTAACAGGCTGTGTTTTCATGCAAACATCCAGTTGTTCTAGTACCACTGAATAAATAATCTGTTTTTCACTGGTATGAAATGTCACTTTTGTCACATACATGTACACAAACACACACTAGTATGTACCAGAGGTATTTCTGGACTCTTTATTCTGCTTCATTGGTCTGTTACTTATCTCTGTGTCACTACAATGCAGATTTGACCACACTTGCTTTCCGATGGTTACGTTTTACTCTTTCTTAAGGCAAGATTTTCTCACTCTTCTTTTCATTATATATTTCTACTAGTGTTTTAAAAATTCCACTAATCTCATAGGTTTTCTGCAAATTGCTTATATTTTCTACCTGCTCAGCATCATTGGGATGGGAAAGGGGACAATTTTATTCTTCTTTTTTAATGTCCATACCAACTATTTTATTATCTTATTTAAATGAATTTACCAGGACTCCCAAAATAAAACTGAATACTAATGATTACATCAGATCCCTATTTTGTTTATGTTTTCAAATATAATGACTTCAATACTTTATTGCTTACCAAAAACCAATCTCAAATGTTATACTAAATAACCCCAATTATATTTAGTTTCCTTGTATGACCATTCTGGTTTTGTTTTTACTGGGAATGACTGTTGAAGTTCATCAACTTTCAACATTATCTTTGGATGTGATTA